TCAAAAATTCCTCGACATTCCGCCTCATTTAACTGTTACCATTTAAATTCAAAGTTTTTCCGCCAGATTCCGCAAAATATCACCAAAAATTCTGTCAGATTTTGCAATTCTACCAGGTGTAGCTGGTACCATTTACACAACTAGGTTGCATGAATATGTATAGGTCTTTTTTGTCTTTTGTTGTGCTGAGACAAAAATAAAAACTTATTTCTTACTTGTATGAGCCAAGTACTTGCTAATTTTCAAATACTTGTGACCCGACTTTGCTTAATCAAGTAACAAAATTTTCGGTTTGATACTTAACTTGTTCGAACCAAGTACTCGCTATATCAAGTACTTATCCAAAATCCTATTACTTACAAGTAATTTGACTCGACTTGTTACTTGCCAAAATTATATACTTGTTACTTGAAAGTATTTAAATATGAAAATAATCTTCATACAAATTACAAAATATTAAAATTTCAAAAGATCATTAAGCATTTAAAAACAAGTTTTTGCTTTAGTGATCCACATCATAGCAGTCTTCTTCTTGATTTTTTTTTTTTAGGTCTATAAAACCATTAAACCAACATACCAAATATAAAAATGATCATAAAACATAGTCACATATACATGTAAACCTTAAAATGACTTGGTTTGATTATGCCGTCAAATGTCAAAACCCTTAACCAATATTATTAACGAGTATCAAATCAAGTAATAAACGAGTATCAAGTCGAGTAGCAAACCAAGTAATAAAAAGAAATTACTGACTTGGTACTTGGTCCGGATTTGCCAGTAATGTAATATGTTGACTTATTACTCGATTTGACCGGGACAAGTATTTGCTTTTTCAAATCGATTAAGAACTAAGCACAAACCGAATAACAAGTATTTATGTCGAGGCCTAAATATGTACGTTTACCAATTTCAAAATGAATACAACAACATTGTTTAGTCAAAGATAGGTCCCTTTATCTATAAGACAAAGCTTCGTGGTTTTGTCTTTTGCCAATTTTTGGAGTTTCAGTTATTTTTTAAGTGGGCACATGTGCGTTATATCATTAACAAAAATTGTTTTGCTATTGATTATTTAGAAACTACAAGTATTATTTTTCAAAAAAAAAAAACTATTTATTCAAGAGTCAATTTGCTCAATAACTAAAAAAAATAATAATCAACCAAGTAACCAAAATGGCTTTATGTGGCCAAATAATGACCATTATATTTAGGTTATTTGGTTATAATTTTTTTAGATATAATTTTTTTTTATGGTTACTAATGCCAATTTCCCTTTATTCAATCATCAAGCAAATAATAGTTATTCTGTTAACTGGAATATAATTACAATTGGGTT